CCCCCCGGGGGGGGGGGGGTGTGGAAGGCATGTAAATCCGCATTTTAGACTTCATGTTTAGAGGAGAAGTTGCAGTGAGAAGAGTAAACATTGTCCTACGTGATTTACTAGATTATAGAAAATGCATTAAATCTATACTTAGAGAATAAAAATTACCGTTTTGGGACGAAATAGAAAGAAAACAAATAGTGGGACGGAGGAGTAACATTAGAAACCATATGACTTTATGTGGAACCTTTACTACTTATATCAAAATATGATTCTTCTCTATTGTGTACTTCCAACTAAAAAATATTATTTGGTAACAACAAATGGTTAACAAATGCACATTCTCATCTCTTCTTATAAATAATCATAAAAATCAGATGTTGCCATTCATTTGAGACAAGGAGTATTTGAAAAGTTCAAATTATTAATTAGGAGTTCAGACTAGAAGAAGCACTACTCAGTATTCTCTTCCTTCTCTCTAGCTACAGAAAGAAACTTTGGCAACCATGAAGGGAATTAGTCAATATTTACAGTCGTAAAGCTCCAGTATCGAGAATTTAACAACATAAGGTAAACAAATATTCACAAAGATAATATTCTACCCTGATATAAAAAAGCAAAGTTTGACTTGACCTATCAAATACATTGGGAGGGTCCACCCATATTACGTAAATAGCACAACACAATGAAAAACAAATTTTGACATAAAGTAGTGTTAACAACTCCACAAAAATACACGGAAAGAGGAGATTGAGACCTGTCGACTTTATAAATATTAAGACAAAAATGCTTTAAGAAACTTAAATTAAAGGCATAGAAATAAAAGTTCCAAAAAATAGTTAGTCAAATACCAATGGACTACATAATATTATGTAAAACATAAAAAGGACCCATAAGTACTTTTAAATTTCACGAATGTTAAGAAATGAACCTTGGTACTCAATCACAAAAGCTAGCTCATAATGTGAAGATTGTCCAAGACTATGGACAAAACTCGTTTCTGCAAATAATATGACTCTCTCTCGCAACAACTTCGACAGCAAAAAGAATTGTAAACAGAATCAACCATGGTCAAACATGCACAATACTTTCTGCAACATGTCAAATTAGGATATAATTGTTCCCTCCTAATTAGATTTAAGAAAAGATATGGAACTTCGCAATTCACCTATCATTTGGTAAGTTTACAATGTTGACAGCATCGTCTTCGACGCCAGTATAGTGACTCCCTTTAACAAGTCTACAGGGTATTCCAACATGGTCAGCTAGTACCTGCCTCCAGTAAAACAATAGCAATGATGACGATACAAATCTTAATAGATAAAAGAGTAATCACTCAAATGCTACAAGAGCATAACGTCAACAAACTTCAATACTAAAGTTCCCGCTATTTCAGACTTATATCTGATTAAAGTAATAAGAATTGCCCACACCCTTCCCAAATAGTGCCTTTACAAAGTTCAATGAGTCAAAAGCCAGCTGAATGAGGTCACAAGTACAGAAGACTATGGGCATGGTTTGAGTTGCAATTGTACTGGTTAAAATAAAGGTAACAAAAGCTTTGTAGATCAATGATGCAAAGTAAATTCGGGAGATAAGGCCCATCTTGTAGATTTATAACGCTCTTAAAAATGCATAACATTTAATTATGATCATCACCTTAAAAAGCAATGCACGGTGACGTGAAAGCCCAACTTTTAGGGATCCAATTGGCAGCACACTGGTGTGAAGTGATGTCCTCAACTCGTTGCTTATTTCCATCCATTTGGCCAATATGATATTTGCATCCTTTACTGGCCCACCTAAATGCTCAGTTACAAGTTCTGAAAGCCTCAGTACTAACAGATTAATCTCACTGGCAGGGCAGTCCAATGTAATACAATGTGCAATCTGCATCAACTCTTCCAAGGAGGGGTCAATTCTCCGATTAATTATCACGCCTTCAAAGTCAGAACTCCCAGGAATTGTTTCAAGTTCAGTAAGAGATGGCATTTTCCCACGACTTGCTGGATCTGTGAAGAGAGTATATACGTCATAGAAACCATCAACAACTTTCTCCTCATAGTCCAGCACACCATAATCCTGATAAGAGGGTAAAGTAAGTGAGAAAAAAGTAGAAACCAAATTATGAGAACCAAACTGAAAATCATCTTCAATAGAGAACATATCCCAAGAACTAGCAAAGTATACAAATTATTAAGCTTTTGGAGTGGAGGCAGAAAAAAGAAAAACACACTCGATAAAGTATTGTGAGGAACAGAACCTATTCAAACCTTCAAGGTTAAACATACAACAGATAACAAACAAAATCCTAAAAGAAAATCATGTGTCTTTCGAATAAAAAATAGCATGACAGTTTTGCTTGAAAACATGTAGTGTCAACTACTAATCTAAATCTTGGTCTTCCATGAGCATCCAAATCATGTATACTTCTTTTTCTTAAGTTTGTAAACTTTGTATACATGGATTTCTCTGTTACATCAATATTTATTAACTTCACTTAAAAAAGGCTACCCTTCTTCACAATTCACATTCGTTATCTAATCTAGTCTTTTCTGAAAGTTACACTGTTTGCAAAGTTTACAGCTAAAAACGTTGCACTACCATGACACTGCAAAAGAGTATAGAAACGGCAAATACGGGATTTTCTCACTTGACTTCAACTAATCAGAGATAGCAAGTTTTATAAGACCATCATCTAAACTAGCAATGCGAAAATAATGGAAGCAAATTTATTAACAATGAAAACTCAAAATTTACCCAATACTGCCTCGATAACAAGTCCGCAGCGGCATCCTCCCTATCACGTGCCAAGTCAGCAGCGGTTCGCCCTCCGCCGAGTGTTTGACCGTTGCTTGAGTTAACATCGCACGGGAAAGAATCCTGAGCCTGCGAGGATGACACACTCAACGCTAGGGCAAGCTGCACCTGGTACTCTTCCTCCGAAGTATAATAATCCTGCTGCCGAATGATCGTCGAAATATTCCCTCCTCCGCCACCAGCACTCACCGGAGCAGCGGCCGCCGTGGAGGCACTCGACGTCGTGGAAGGAGTCGACGGTGATTGAACAACAGAACTCGAATTCCGGTTATCAGAAGCACATGACGCCGATGACGACGATGATACCGCCGGCGGCGAAGATGTCGATACCGCAGATGAAGTAGATTGAGCGTCGTTGGATCGATTTGGATGGTGAAGCTTCTTGAAAATGTGTTTCATCGTTCGTTGAGTTTCTCTCTCTATATCATACGGTACTTTTCCTTTCTCTCTCTATATTTGTATATATATATATGTATGTACAACTACTGTTAGTCTTCTTCACACACAGTCTCTCTCTCTATAAAGTCCACCTTCCTATTGACTGTAAAAAGACAAAGGCATAGAGAGAGAAGGGGAGGAGGGAAACTTAAGGGGGTGGATATGGGGCTACCTAAAAAGGGCACGGAGTTGAGTAAATTTACAGCAAACGACATCAACGATTCAACACGGTCTTTTTACTGAAATTTCGTTTTTGCCCCAAATGTAACGGTAATGAAACATTTTTCCCTAGTACAACTACTTATTTCCTTAAGTCAGATTTATGTACAATAGTACTAGAAGACAAGCATGAAGAATGTTGATACCAGATTATGTTACAGTCCCAAATAAGATTTTATGAATTTTCACAAACTACATATCCCCATTTAAATTCATTTCAAGCCATTTTAAAAATAAAATTTCAAAAATATTCTTTATATTTGCTATGGTGGATTTAAGATTGTGCACAAAGAGGTTCAGATGAAAACTAGTAAAAGCAACGTTAGGCGTAAAAAGGGGTTTAACTTTGTTCTTTACATTTGATTAAATATAAAATATCTATTTATTTTCGTATTTAACAAGTTATTAAACTGTACAAATATTTTTAAAAATTACTTAACAAACATCAATTTAATCTCTACCAAAATACTAAACTTTATTTACTCCATTTTGTTAAAATTAACAAATTAACAAGCTCTAAATAATTTATTATGGCAAACTAATAGTTGCAAACAATGACAATAAAAGATAATTGTAAATTAAACTAATTTATAATTTTAATATAACAATTCTCGACTATGAAATCTACCTATTTATTTGGAAGAAAATTACACAATGCATGCAGACCTACGTTGATCCCGCATATATTAGACGTTTTTATACTATTACGGTGTACCTCGGTTTTTATCAAGCGGGATCAATATTTATTATTTATCAGTTACTAACTTACTATATTTGCTTCTTCAACTAATAATTTACACATATAAATAATATATAATTTTTTTATGAAACAAATTCAATTGAACTAACGTAGGTCTGCCCCTGTTTTTTTAATAGTATAAAAATATCTAATATATGCGGGATATTCTACTTTGAGATTGTTGGTTACACTTCATGAATCACCGAACTAATGAATTATGACTCCTCAATTATCACCTAATGATTTTTAAATGAACTAGTTTCTCGGTACGTGCGTTGCGCGTGTATTCCGTCTTTATAGGTATATTTATTTTTGAAAATAATATAAATATTATATTAAAAATTAGCCATTGAATAAAGTGTAAGTACAAGAAAATTGTTGATTTCATTTAGCGAATTCAATAAAAATTAAGAAAGAAGATCTACCCTAGAAGTCAACAATATCTCAATCAATATATTCAATTTAAAATTTGTTCAAAATTTATTATTTTATTACTTCAATTTTACAAGTTATGATACTTTCTTTTAGTTTTAAAAATAACATATAACCTTTACATATTTAAAAGTTTTTTCTGAATTTTGGAAAGCTATTTTGTTCTTTATCTTAAATGCACAAACACAGTTAGCTGACTGAGATTTTTTTCTTTTTTTTTTTTACTTTTCAGGCGAGCAAAAGAAAAATGCGCTATTTATTTAATCTATAAATAAATATAGGAACTTTCTCCAAGAAATTAAAAAAATTTAAGTCAAGTTCTACATTTGAATAATCTACTTTATCATTCGTTTTGGAAAGAACCTTCTTTATCTATCCAAGCACCTAACGATGCACCGATGTTGTCAATTTTTGGAAGCAAAAGTTTATAATTAAAATTGAATTGCTTGCCGTTGATAGATTCTGAAATGACCATATTAATGTTATCTAAAAAGAAAAGAAAATATGAAATTCATATTAAAATTAAAAATAAATTTATTCTTTTAACCAATTTCTATAGATATCATGTTTTAGTTTTCATGTGTATCTATCATCAATTCGCATTTTAATAGGCACTTTTTAAAAATAAGTTCGAATTCATAAAATAATTTCTTTTAATAATTTAGAATTCTTGAAACATTTTTAAGAGATATATTTTACAAAAATACTCGATTTATTTTACTATGTTGTGGTCTTCTTAAATAAGGACTATATAATTCATTCCTAATTATTTTTTTGGGCAAAACATCCATTCCTAAATTTAATTCCACTTATTGCCACCTCTTGAGCTTTACAATTACAAAAATGCTGCAACGATAAAAATTATCCAACGGAGATATACTATATACTATTAATCAATGTGCTTGATCCTACTGTTACTTTGTTTACCCGAAAAATAGATAGAGTTGAATTTATACGTAGTTCCGAAGATATGTGGCGTAACTTAACATAAAATGCAAGGATAAATAAAAAAAGTGTAAATATAGATTGGGGAGAATGCTAAAATAGATAAGATTATCAGGAACAATGAATCTCAGGATTCAATAAATAGAATCAATCTAAGAAATATGAAAGAACGGTTCTTTTCTGTAGAAGAATATAGCCTTTTTATTACAATGTAAGCCTTGGAAAATCTTGTCTTACATAAATAGTAGCGAAGCCCTTTTGTAGTGGAGGGATTTGGCTCTAAGCATAATAAAATAAACATTCAGTGAGAGACCCATGATACGTCAGCTTTTCCATAATTTTTGCCAAGATTCTCTCTAGTGGGATTGCAACGGCTTTTGTCTGTGAGCTCGATCTTGCTTAGAACCCTCGATTTTGGTTTGAGCTTGATTTCGGCTCGAACTCATGATCTTGGTTCGAGCCCGATCCTGGCTCGAGCCCTCGAATTGATTCGAGGTCAATGTCGATTGGTCTCTGGATTGTCAGCATGGTAGATTTTGATTCGAGCTTGGTAATGATATCGAACTTGACACGGATCGGCCTCCCCAGGTTCGAGGATAGTTTGCTCCACCTTCGGGATCTCACTTTGATAAATCNCCCAGGTTCGAGGATAGTTTGCTCCACATTCGGGATCTCACTTTGATAAATCATCATTTGAACTCGATCGGACGTGCTAAGGCCGAAACCTATTTCGACCGTATACAGATAGTTCTCTCGTTTCTCAGAAAGAATGTGACGAGAAATGATATGATTTTTTAACAGCTCGATCGGATTATATCCTGTCGTTTCCATCGGTTTCGACCATGATGCATCTGGTAGTTGTCCCGTCGGTTTAGTATTTTGAGGCATTTAACGCATGTCAGGCGGTGGTCGACCACTGTTGATATTGAACCGACATCGCTTGGATCTATAAATAACCCTTTCTTTTATCTTTTACCATTTTTACATCTTCTATCTTCCAAATTTCCCAAGTTCTTCTTCGTACTCTCCATCTTGCCAGTAAATCTGTGATTTCTTTCCGCAAAAATCCCTCTTCAATTCTACCAGATCTTTGTCCCTTTCTTCTACTCCCCACCTTTGAATTCTAAAATGGCGAAAATATCGCAAACTATTCCTCAGAAAGAGAAAGCTTCATCTTCACAGTGTGCCGCCAATGAGACACCGGCAGAACCACAGCCTGAAAAGTGTGTTCCCGGGGCATGTGTCCTTACTTCAGATTTTAAGGTCGATAAAGGTTCATCGGTCCCTGGCCGGTGTGAGCCTGTATCGAGGTACATGTGTTCGATAACCGAAAAATACTTCGAACAGCTAAAGAAAGATTGCAATTGGAGTGAGAAAGAAATAATAATTCCTACGCCCGACGAAGATATCACTTCTTACGTGAAAGGGTTTTTGAATGTGTATACTTACCCTTTCACTTTGGGTCCCTTTGATTCTGTTATTAAGGACTTCTGTCGACAATACCAAGTAACCGTAGGCCAGGTCCATCCTTCTTTGTGGCGGATGGTTAGCCTGATCCGATTTTTTGTGAGCAAGATCGAGGGGATGCCGTTCACCCTCGATCATCTTATCCGATTGTACCGTCCTCGACTTTTTCGAGGGGGGTTAATAAAACTCCAGCGTCGAGCTACCAAGGCTTTGTTCTCGAGTATTGACGAGGACAGGGATCGGGGTTAGATGGGCAGGTTCGTTCGAGTAAGGACTTCGGACCTGATCCCGACTGAAAAGATGCCCTTTCTCGAGGAGTGGAATATGAAACGTAAGTGTGATCTTGCTGTTACTTCTATTTTCTTCTTTCATTTATTCTGTCATCGACACTCCCCCTTCTTCTTGATGTAGCGGTTCCCTGGATGCCCGGAGCAATCCCCGATCTCAAGAACTGGGTACGGGACCTTATTTCGATCTCCACATACGTCGAGCGCTCATGGCGTGATTTGTCAAAGGATCGATGGGAGGCCAAAAATCATGGTAAGCCCATTTCTCAAACTCTTTGATGATCCGAACGAGGCAGTTTTCAAAATATTTTATTAAAGTTTCCCATATGCAGGTTTGGGTAAAGACGCGGTTTTGAGGCCCTTGCTCAATGAAGAGGTGATTTCGGCCTCTGTCCCAAAGCCGGTGAAGGAAAATAAAAGGAAGAGAGCCTCGGTTCCCGAATATCCAAAATCGAAGAAGAGGATGGCTCGTAAGCCGAACAAGAATGCCATTCCTTTGACCGTGGAATTCGTTCTACGTCTAAGGGATGAAGATGAAGAAGAAGAAGAAGAAGAGAACGATGAGTGCGCTCTGGCGGTCTGAACGAAGAGAACCATCGATGCCTCATCGCCAGCTGGATCGATGATGCTCTATGAGGCTCCGCCTCGAACTGAAGATATACCGGAGAAAGATTCGGGTAGAGTCCCCGAACTATCGGATATCGAAGACGCATCTCACCGGAGTCAACCGGCAGGGGATATGATCGAAGAGCCCCTCGAACCCCTTCGAATCGAGGGGAACGCTCCAGGCGAGCCATTTGGGGCAACATCAGTCAAGGATTCACCTACCTTTCCCGCTTTTTCCGCAGGGGTTATTCGGGAAGCTCAAGCTCTGGGAGCCCTCGATCTAGACAGGCCTCACGATGAAGAAGATCCCTTTCGTGACCTGTTTACCGGTATGAGGACGTTGCCGGTGCTAGTGATGAATCAGATCTTTTTCACGGAGTGCGGCAGGCTTTGAATTAGGTGAGCTTTTAAAACTATTTTGTC